TTTCCCGAGTCTGCTTCGCCTTTCCAGCCCTTCTTTGTGCGTCTGTCGGGTTCTTTGTACGGGCTTTGCACTCAGATGGCCGTCGTTTATTTGCTCCAATATCATTTTCACGACATTTCACCGTGCCTAATAATCGTTTGTTGTTTGTTATTTTGTTTATAAAGCTTGAAAACGAACTTTCTAATTTCGAAAAAAAGTAATTCCAAAGGTAACGAGTAATTTTCACGAAATTACTGCATGAAAGTAATTAATTACGTTATTAAAATACCAATCGAGAAAATTCATTCGTTACATTACTCAATACAACAAAAAGTAATTTAATTACCGTATTTTAGTACAGTAATATCGCTACCGGCCTCTCCTATCACACCCACGCTTCACAGTTAACGTGATGATTTTTCTTCCGAAGAACACCTAAATAGTGACAGACATCCAAAAGTAACGAAGTCTTGCTCATAGAATTTACTATTTCTGCTTTGTAATTCCATATTCAGTTTTCTTATCGGCTAATGCTGTAATTTCACTGGTAGCGGGGCGGTAATAACATGCTCACAACTCAAATTACCTTGCGTGTCTTAGGTTGTCAGTGACTAAAACTAATCTCAGCATATTTTTTTTACTAAGGCGGTTTTAAACGCACTGCAAACAAACGGCATTTTTGATAAAATAATCCCGGGATACTTTATTTTATGGTCAGCACTTCGGAAGCGTACGACTCTCAAACGAGCGCGCCACTGCGCTTTCACATCTGGTTGGTAGCGCCACCTACGACAGCGTCCGCGGTAAATTGCATAGTTCAGCGCTGCCCGCTCCGACCTCTACTAATGTGTCCGCAACGTCTTGGTCGCGTTTGCACTCACCGAGGGCGGCCGTGCTTCTGGACCTCACTGCGGAGTAAAGGTTTGACACCTTGAGATTCGAAAACCTACTCGCCTCCAGGGTTGCTTTGTATGTGTCCTCACGTCATTCGACCGGGAGGAGTTGCTCGCAGTTAGGGCGCAATCGTGCATCTCGCGGTTTTAAGCAGGAACGACGGCAACGCGCTATCCTGCTTTTTTTTTATTCTAAATATGCCTCCATGAAGGGCTTCTCTGTTCGACGATCCGGAAATCACTATTCAGCGACATTTACCATTTCCGGCAGTTCATGAAGACCCAATGAGGTGCATTTACGCCCCTCTTATCAGATTTCTTTTTGCTTTGTTGGTGGATCTAATCGATGTACTGGGATTGAGAATATCGCGACTGTTTTTGCCAGTGCATGGGTGCTTTAAAATTTAAGCACTTTCGTAAAAGAAAGCTTAGCTGTGCCTCCGAACGTTCTGCATAACCTTGTGCACGGATAAGCTGACATTTGCTAGAAACCAAGATCGGCTGACAAAGAATGTCTATGCGAAATGCTTCTGTAAAGAGCCGCACCGTGGTGCCAATGTCTGCCACACATGTTCAATATTACTTCATTGTTATCTTAACGTTTTTAAACTGTACTTCTATTCTCATTGTCCACTTGATGGGTTTGAAAATCGTCTTGCATTGGCACACTCCCCAAGATACGCTTCCTCGACGTTCTTCAAATAAATTTTGTTTTGTAGTTCCCCATCATAATTTACGTTTAACCTTCGATTAGACTCAACAGATTGTTCTGCCATAGTTTGAAAGTCAAACAAATCTTCAATCTTCTCTTTTTTTTATGCTCCAACCGAGGGTGTCTCGGAGATGAACATTAACATTTATATTTGACCTTTCGATTGTGGGATTCTTGGTAGGGCAAAATATAATTTTACTTATTTCGCAAGTATATGCGTATGTCATATTCCGCTGCCAGTTTGTCGTCTTAAGGGTAGTCTTACAAAAGTAATACCCGCTAAAACATATCTCTTAACGAAAAGCAGAAGTCTATCCTGAGAAAAACGACCTGACTTGTTATTCTCACTAGGCCGCTATGAAAATCGTGGCGATATTGACTATTCTGCACAAACTATTGGGTGAGTGTTTCAGTTTATAAACTGTTTAAATAACGATACACTTAAACATTACTCAGTTTGTCTCGCAACTTTTGTGCCAATTTTTCTCTTTGAATTTTCATTGTAAGACATAGAGCCTCCGTAAAGGTATCAAATATTGGAAACTGTAACATTGTTTTTTTAAAAGAAAGTTGCGACTATAATTTGTAACAAATATCTGAATATCTTTATAGAAATTAAAACGCCGTAGCAGACGTACACAAAATCATCGTGCGCCAGGTCCTTCGTAGAGACGCGGACTTTATAAAATGTATCCTGAATTCAGTCACCTCCATGCCCTCTCCTCGTCGCTGTTGACACAAAATCACCCTAACAAACCTGTTTTCTAGATAGGATGCTCTGGCTTGTAGTCAATAGGGTGGGCTTTCCAGGTTTGGCCGACAGCTGGTGATAACGTCTTTAGAAAACTAATTCTATTTTGATCGGCGAAAATAAGGGTAGCGTGAAATTTTTAACGTTGGCGGTTTTGGTTTCGGAATATTGTTGCGAAGTTGTGGCTGGATTGCGTGTTTAGCTTTACGTTGTATTTATACCTTTTCCGAGGGTTGGCGCGTCTCCACGGCACGACTCATGAATTCTGCCGGCGTCAGGAGGCCCAAAATGGGGGCGAACGTGAGCACGGTAATGGTACAATTAGTGTATAGAACCTCGCGCGGAGATGTGTTGTTTCGTGCGTGTCTGGATTGGGCATCTCCACTTTCGAGGTGGTTTTGCTTGGCGTATAATTTCTTTGTATGTGCTCTATATTGTTGACAGCTGCTTTTGTGAGCTTTGTTAAGAAGGTGTTTTGTCTCGCGAATGCGGTTGTCTTGGTGGTGTTCATATTTGCTTCGGGCTTCAAGCCTCGGGATTAGTGCGAAGAATACCATCTCAGATTGACTGCCGAAGGCGCTCCAGAACGCTGCCAAACTAAAATAAAGCAGTCGCCAGAGGTCTGCAGATAACACGGCTCCCGGATAGCAAGCCTTGAACATCACCCCTCCTCTGGAGTCAACCTGCACGTCCGACCTTCTTCGGCTATGGAGTCTTCCGCCCTGTACCTCTTAGAATCTCTCGCGCCTGTGGAGGAGCTCGGCTCGCCCGCCTTTTTTTAACTCCTTGCTTGACAAGGTTGGCTGTGGTCAGAGCACCCGCTGAAGGTTTGGTCGAGGAGGACGGCAGGGAAAGTCACCAGAGGTTAGGAGTCGCACCCCGAATCGTTTTGTCTTAAGCTATAAAACGTGCAATGTGACATAAAATAATAATATATATGTTCCTTAAATACAGCGTTCGGTTCTTTTCCTACTATGCTCCTCATCTCGAATGTTCGACATAAAATGTTCGGGAAAGAGCTAGGACGAGACAGACTAGACAAGGCCATTCTGGTCTCCTTATCGTTTACGCTTTAGGTTAAAAGTGTACGCGAATCTTCTGGATGAACGGGGAAGCGTACCTTCTCGATCATGCACGCAGCAATATACCTTCAGCGACATCCGGTAAGCCTAGTCTGACATCTGGGCCGGCTTGGTAGAACAGCGTCCCAGCTGAAGCTGGCTGGAAGAATGCACCGCAAAGGTTAGGCTGCGCGAGCGCCTTGAGACACGGTTTGAGTTCCGCTCAACTCTTGCGCTGGCTTTGACAGTGTTTTCTTTCCCACGTCTAGACTGATATGCTGTTTCTAGCAAGCCGGCCCTGACCCCAGGCAGCAGACACGTTGAAAAGACGTCGAAAGAACTTGATGACATCAGGAACAACATGTCGAAAGAACTTCGAAAGTCAGAACGTCAGGTCGCTTCGACGTGATATGGAAAGGCTAATGTCTGGAAAAAAGGGTGAATTTTACGTCGACATAACGTCCCACTTAACGGTTCTAGAGCGTCGAGTGCACGTCTTAATCGGACGGGAAATCAAGTGATAACGTTATATGAACGTTGACACAATGTCCCATCTAACGACCATAAAACGTCGTGTACATGTCTAAACTGAACGGGATGCCAATTAAGAAAGTCTTATTACCGATAACATAACGTCCCATTTAACAACATAAAAAGTCGATCGCACGTCTGTCATAACGTTATGTCAAATTTGAAATAATGCCCCAAATAACGACCATAAAACGTCGAGCATACGTCTAAACAGAACGGGATGTCAATTGATAACGGTCTCGACCTGGGTCACCGTGAAACAATGGAGTCAACCGGATCCGGCTGCGTTGCTCGAAGGTATGTTCGCGAAAGCATGTATAGTCGGACGGAATAGACCGTTTGCTAATTCCCCCAAGCGCCCCGTCCCGCGATCCAGGAATCATGGGGACGCTGTTCCATCAGCTCGGAAAGAGAAATTTATTTACAAGTTGGGACAACAGTACACAATTGAAAGGAGGAAACGTAAGGCACAAAGAGGACGCACGCGAACGTAAATAATGACTAGAAATCGACCTCCCGGGAGCGATACAAATATGTACAGTGTTTATCTGGACACGGCAGCAAAAAAGAATCACAGACACATAGAAAATAAATAACAAGTAGACTAGAACGGCTACAGCCACTACACTACTAAAAGGTGCGTGAAAACGTAATTAATCCAGGCGGTGGTGGTGGTGGTTTGCGGCTGTTCCCTTTTGAATCGGGCGGTCCCGTAGAGTTTGGGACCTAGCCAGTGGGAAATCGGTTATCCCCGTTGGTGAACTAGCATCCACCAGTTCTCTAATCTTCGCTTCGTGGCTTCCACCTGCTCACGCCACCCTCCGTTGGTTCTCGGTGTAGCGTCGGTGTTGTTGTTGCCGCTAGTCCCACCCGCAGAGTCTGCCACTGAGCTGGAAGCAGACCCAAAGCCGAGTGCCTCTGCCAGTGCGAGCTCCCGGGTTGCCTGTCCACACTCCGCCGGTTGAACTGGTTGCAGACTGGTGCACGACAGCACAATGTGTTCAATTGTCTCATCCGCCTGACCCTCGAACTTGTAGCGCCACTCTGCGGCCCGCAACGCCAATAAAGTCCACATGCCACCTCCGGAGAAACTCCTCCTCCCCGAGGACAAAAAGCGCGTCCTCGAGGTGATAGAGGAGCAGTGTCCGGAGTCGACGCAGCACCGGGAACATCGGACCGAGACGGCGCTGGCGGCCCAAAGAAATGTTCCTCTGTTGCCACAAGACGTAGCAGGATGCGGCAAACACCAGACCCGCACTCCGGAGTCTAGCGTAGAAATGTCTGCTCAGTGGCAGCGTAAAGATGAGACTCACAAGAGTACACAAAGTTTTAGCTATAACACACTCAAACACCGCGTGGGTGTTGGTTTCAACCTGCCCATAGTTGAGAGACAGATTCGAGTTAGCGACACCCCATCGTGCTGGACGGTCACGGGTAGGTAGAACACCCCACCCAAGCTGCCAATGAAAGTCTGCAAGGCCGGGAGGGATGTCTGGGGAGAAAGCGCTGGTCCAGTTTGCAGTCCGACTTCGAACCCGGAGTAGGAGAGGCACCCCAGGCTCGCAAAAGGCCTCACAAAGACGTAAGACAGGTACTTCACGGATGTAACAGTCCGGCTTGGCCGTTTGTAACTGCCGGTACACTTAAACTACCGTCGCGTAGAAAGACAATGGGGACTTCGCCATCGGGCACGAGTTCCCTAGCCCCCGAGGCACCAGGGCGCGACGGTGCGTGCTACGCCAGTACAGCGTCAGGCTGCGGCCGGGATAATAGGTGCGTCTAGGATGTTTAGGACGTTCCGAAGGACAAGCAAGCGGCTGAAGATAAGAAGGCAGGGGATGCTCAGGCCCCAATCAGAGCGCGGCATTCGAAGGGCCGAGCGAGCGACCAACTCAGTGCGCCCTTCCCAGAGGAAGGCAAAAGTCACGAGCAATGCGCCGGACGACAGACGGAGGGGGGAGAGTGACTCGTGAGGCGTACCACAGCAGGGCGCACAGCACCGACTTCACCATATAAGCTCTATCGCGCTGGGGCAGGGAGAAACGCGAAGCCACAATGGCCTCGTGCACGACGTCTGTCGCAATGCTGTTCCATGTTTCTGCCGACACAACAGAACAGTCAAAGAAAACACCCAGCACCCTGACAACCCTCGTCAGGGTGCTGGGTGCACCCTGACATAAAGATATATAAAGAGTACGCCGCCCTTTTATACATCCGGAGGACTGATATAAAGGCTCCCGTAATCCCGTGCGAAAAGAGAGACGTCGTCCGCTTATGCGGATACTTTGATGGATCCCGAGCCAAGAAGAGGGAAGCCACGTACCAAGGGTTGGTCGTGGATTCGTCGGAGAAGCGGGTCCAGGCAAAGGACGAAAATTAAGAGTGTAGGAGACAGCCCTGGCGTACCCCTCGCTCCTCGGCAAAGCACCGGGTAATCTGGCCATTGACAACGACGTCACTGACCAAATTCACATACAAAACCTCGAAGAGGCGCATGAAGTCTGGACAGAATTCATACGTCCGAAGGACCGAAAGCAATAAACCGCGGTCCAGACGGTCGAAAGCATTCTCCTAGTCTAGGAAAATGAAAGCGCCGGAAAGGCCACGGGACTCTGTGAAGTGAAACATGTCACGCGTTAGCGTGAGGGACGAAAATATGCTCCGTCCAGAAACAGAGCAGGTCTAAAAAAGGCTTATAAGTCCTGGTAACACGTCGCGGAGGCGGTGAGCAAGAATGGTGACCAACAGTGTGTAGTCTGCGTTGAGGAGAGTGACGGGCCGCCAGGCCTGCGGCGGGGAGGGTTCGCCAGTCTCCTTCGGGACGAGGACGATGCGGCCACGCCGAAAAGAGTCGGGAACGTTGCCGCCTCGAAGGAAAGCATTGAAAACGCCGACTAGTGCCGTGCCAACCTGGGGCAAAAACTATTTGTAAAACTCTACTAGCAGACACCTGACGCAGAACCCATCTTCATGCCTCCGAGAACCTTGTAAGCCTCGAAAGCGCTGACAGAGCGGTGAAGAGTATCTCGCAGGCCGAGCGGGACTTGACGTAAGGAGCCACAAAACTGTTGGACGAGGGCATCGGATGTGTTTCGGGGGCAGTAATCTTCCATCCGGAACAAGGCTGCAAAGTATTTGGAGAAAACTTTCATGATGTTAAGTGGAAGGGACGACTGGAAGCCATCTGGTGTGGCGAGAGACGGAACCCAGCCCGGTCAATCCCCACGGCCTGAGAGACGCGAAGGTAGCGGAGGACCTCAGGGTCTGACTCGGAACGGCTGTCCCAGGGCTGCAATGCCGGTGTTCCTGAACTTTCCCGCAAAAGGCGAGAGTACCTCACCCGCAGCAGGTTCAAGTACTCAGACACGAAGTGCATGAAGGTACCGCCGCGCCTAATGATCTGGATGCGTCGCAGGACCTCATTGAACTTATGGGAGAGTTGACGCCGACTCCACTTGCCCTTGCGGACGCACAGATAACGCCAGGGCATCTTCAAGCTGTCCCAACGCGCAAGATCCGGGCCCATGACACGTTGTGCCTCAGTGAGCACTTGGCGGACTGACTGAACCGCTTCCCTATCCCGAAGAAGCCGCAGGTCAAAACGCCAAAAATTGCAGCGAGGCTGTTCGCCCCCAAGAACGGACAAGGAAATCAGGACAGGACGATGATCCGAGACGTACCCCGCCGCAGAGGGAAACGAAAGTCTCACATCGAGTGAGACATGTAGCGAGCCAGGTTGGGAGGTACGCCCGGTCTAAACGACCGCTCGAGCCCGCACGAGACGACGTGGGCGCAAAAGAGGAGCCGTGTAACTCGCACCAAGCGTCTCGTAAGTCGAACTTTTCAACGAGGCGACGAAGCTCACGAGCATTCCAGTTGGCCCTACCCTGACCTGGACCCCGACCATCAGGGTGAGCGTCTAAAACACATTTAAAATCCCCCCCCGAAAAAAAGAAGTGGTGGGACTCCAACAGATATACGTCTAACTCTCGAAAGAAGCCAGTCGATAAAGACATATGCGCGGGCGCATACACATTCACTGCGCGCAAGCGGTGCTGACCAAAGAAGAAATCAAACGCAATGACGCGATCAGCGGGATCAAAAATGCTTCGAAATCCTCGACTGAACGCTCGACGCAAGATGAGATCGCCGACGCCGCGACAGCATGTGTCTCCGAACGAATAAAAAAAAGTCAAGGCCGAAGCGTTCACGAAAAGCAGTGCTGTCGCGTGAAGAAAAAAAAAAAAAGGTTCCTTGTAAAAAGACAAGGTCTGCACCAACCGAGCTCGCGAAGTGGATGACCTCACGCTGCTTCTTAGGGTCTCTAGAGTCCGGGACATTCAGCGTGAGGACATGCAGGAGCATGGCCATAAAATAAAACTCATTAAAAAAAACTAAAAAACTTAAGCGAGCATACCGCACTAGAAGACCAGAGAGTCGAAAAAGTCCTCCGAGCCGGATGGCTTGGCGTGACCGAGGCGTTTCTTCTTCGTCGAGGTTCCGGGGGCGTCAGACCCGCTGCTGGTGCTTGTGAGGCCGCGTTTTGTTTCAGGACGGTCGCAGCACATGGCGTCGTCGTCGTCAGACCTTGGGTCCAATGACGCGTCGCTGTCCGGTAGCGCCACCAATGTACCGGGGGATGCCGAAGCAGGAAGCAACGTAGGTGACGGGGGAGGGTTCCCTAGGCCCGGGGTGACGTCAGCGATTTCAGTTACGCTGGGGCAGGCGATGAGGGGACTCGCGGAGGCGTCCTCGGCAATGAGGAGGTCTTGTCTGGCGTCACAAGATTACAGAAAACGCGGGGCCGACGTTTCCGCGTGCGCAGGAAGCACATCGGTGGCTGAGGGCTCTGCCGCCGGTGGGGAGTCTCCGGGGGCAGTGGGCAAGACCGTGATTGCGGAAGACGGCTTAGCCTGCTAAGGGGGGCAGGGAGCTTGGGTTTCAGGCGGCTTGGGGGTGCTGACCGGTGGTGGAAATCCACGGCAGGAATCTCTAGGAGCTCCCGAGTACGACTTGCGCTGAACGCAGTCTGTGGTGGGTTGGGCATGGCCGCAGGGTTGGCAGGGCGCAGCACATCCCTCTGTCGGGTGCCCAAAGACGCCGAACCTGTCTCAGCGGGGAGTCTTGCAGGCGGGCCCGAAATGGCCCTCCTGACCACAGCGGCTACAGACCCGGCGCATGCCGCGATAGTCCACCATGAATCTGCGGCCCTTGATGTGGATGAAACTGGGCACAGGCTAGGCCATCTCCAGCTTGACCACCCGCGTGCCCGTACGGATGTCCGGTTGGTTACGATAGGTAACATAGCTCAAGCCTTTTACCTTGCCGTACTGCCCGAGGACCTCGACACGGGCGTCCTCGGACACGTACGGCGGGGGCCGGTAAACCGACACGTGGACGACGTGGGCTCCGACCGGTTCGAGTGGGACCTGGACGTCACCGAGCAGCAGGTCTCCCTGTGCTACCAAACGTTGGGCAGCGGCCATGAAGCTGACCACTGTCATAAACCTTACACCACTATGGAGCTGGAGCTGAAGGTACAGAAGGCCGGCGTCGCCGACTACGTGTTGGAACGCGTCCATGATGGCACCCACTGGCGTGTCCACCGGTACGTTGATGACAAAACACTGCGCCTTGGACGGCGCCGCTGACGATGTAGAAGCCGCCATGTCGAAGATCGAAGCCCCGGGGACCGCAATGTGATCAGGGGGGTTCCAGGGAACGCTAAAAGGCACGAAGCTGGCGATCAATAATTTCCACCACTGCCATGGCTACTCACTTTTGGGTGTAATTTGGAGTCACCCTAAACAAAAGTCCTATAGTGCCCAAGGACCTGTCATATCACTTTTAACATTTCTCTTCAATGACAGCGTGTTCCATACTGTACATGCTGTCCACCCTTCAACCTGGCTCAACTGCAGCAATCTCTTACATTATTATCATTCTCTTACAGCTGCAAAGACGCTGATATTAAGTTAGAAACGCTAAAAATGCTATAAACAGCACCGCTGACTTCGAGCTAAATTATGTTTTTTTTTTGTTGCGAATTTTCGGCTTTTTAAGGAATTCCTGCTAAAGCAACATTCGCAAGAATTATAACATTTTAAGAGACTTCTGCAGCTCAGCCAAGTTGAAAGGTGGATTGCATGCACAGTATCAAAAGTGCTAACATTGACAAGAAATTTCAAAAGTGATTTTTTAGCACCTTGGGCTTTATAATGTGCTTCTTCAGGGTGATCAAGGTGTTCGCTCACACATTATTGGGACGTCTCGCGCTCAACGTTCAAAGAACCTTCCGAAATAAAACAGCTTAGAACTGACATCGAATAATGTCGATGACGTCAAGATGTTTCTCAGGACATTGGTGGTACGTCTCGTGCTCCACCTTTGAAGAACTTCCCGGAGAAAAGGTAGAACTCACGTCTATTATTGCC